TTATTCCCACACAGTTATTCCCGCACAGTTATTCCCGCACAGTTATTCCCGCACAGTCATTCCTGCACAGTTATTCCCGCACAGTTATTCCCGCACAGTTATTCCCGCACAGTTATTCCTGCACAGTTATTCCTGCAGTTATTCCCTTATTCCTGCACAGTTATTCCCTTATTCCTGCACAGTTATTCCCTTATTCCCGCACAGTTATTCCCTTATTTCCGCACAGTTATTCCTATTCCCGCACAGTTATCCCCTTATTCCCGCACAATTATTCCCGCACAGTTATTCCTGCACAGTTATTCCCGCACAGTTATTCCTGCACAGTTATTCCCGCACAGTTATTCTTGCAGTTATTCCCGCACAGTTATTCCCGCACAGTTATTCCTGCACAGTTATTCCCGCACAGTTATTCCTGCACAGTTATTCCCGCACAGTTATTCCCGCAGTTATTCCCGCGGTTATTCCCGCAGTTATTCCCGCAGTTATTCCCGCACAGTTATTACCGCAGTTATTCCCGCACAGTTATTCCCGGACAGTTATTCCTGCAGTTATTCCCGCACAGTTATTCCCGCACAGTTATTCCCGCACAGTTATTCCTGCAGTTATTCCCGCACAGTTATTCCAGCACAGTTATTCCCGCAGTTATTCCTGCACAGTTATTCCTGCACAGTTAACCCCGCACAGTTATTCCCGCAGTTATTCCTGCACAGTTATTCCTGCACAGTTATTCCCGCACAGTTATTCCCGTAGTTTTTCCTGCACAGTTATTCCCGCACAGTTATTCCCGCAGTTATTCCCGCACAGTTATTCCCACACAGTTATTGCCGCACAGTTATTCCCGCACAGTTATTCCCGCACAGTTATTCCCGCAGTTATTCCCGTACAGTTATTCCCGCAGTTATTCCCGCACAGTTATTCCTGCACAGTTATTCCCGCACAGTTATTCCCGCAGTTATTCCTGCACAGTTATTCCAGCACAGTTATTCCCGCAGTTATTCCCGCACAGTTATTCCCGCACAGTTATTCCCGCAGTTATTCCTGCACAGTTATTCCCGCAGTTATTCCTGCACAGTTATTCCCTTATTCCCGCACAGTTATTCCCGCACAGTTATTCCCGCACAGTTATTCCCACACAGTTATTCCTGCACAGTTATTCCCTTATTCCCGCACAGTTATTCCCTTATTCCCACACAGTTATTCCCTTATTCCTGCACAGTTATTCCCTTATTCCCGCACAGTTATTCCCTTATTCCTGCACAGTTATTCCCTTATTCTTGCACAGTTATTCCCTTATTCCTGCACAGTTATTCCCTTATTCCCGCAGTTATTCCCTTATTCCTGCAGTTATTCCCTTATTCCCGCACAGTTATTCCCTTATTCCTGCACAGTTATTCCCTTATTCCCGCAGTTATTCCCTTATTCCTGCACAGTTATTCCCTTATTCCCGCACAGTTATTCCTGCACAGTTATTCCCTTATTCCTGCACAGTTATTCCCTTATTCCTGCACAGTTATTCCCTTATTCCCGCACACTTATTCCCTTATTCCTGCACAGTTATTCCCTTATTCCCGCACAGTTATTCCCTTATTTCTGCACAGTTATTCCCTTATTCCTGCACAGTTATTCCCTTATTCCTGCACAGTTATTCCCTTATTCCTGCACAGTTATTCCCTTATTCCTGCACAGTTATTCCCTTATTCCTGCACAGTTATTCCCTTATTCCCGCAGTTATTCCTGCACAGTTATTCCCTTATTCCTGCACAGTTATTCCCTTATTCCTGCACAGTTACTCCCGCACAGAATCCCGTTTTTCACATTTAGAGAACGGCGTGAGGCTGAATCTGTTCGAGCGAGTGTTCGCTGGTGTTGTTGTGCAGCGACTGGGATCCGGTTCTCCGGTTTTCTGGACAGAAGCTCATGACGGCCCACGCAGGGCTCAGATATCCAAGCTTTCGCCGGCTGGTTTGGAAAGCACTGTGTGTGTGTGTGTGTGTGTGTGTGTGTGTGTGTGTGTGTGTGTGTGTGTGTGTGTGTGTGTGTGAGAGAGAGATGGATGGAGACACTGATACGCGCTGGCCGAGGTCCCGTTATTCCCGCCATGTGGCTCTGATATCCACAAACAAGCTCAAACTCATTCCCACAGAACTGCAAATGTGCTTCCAGACTGACCGCATGTTCACCGGATCTTTATTTGTTTATTATTATTATTATTATTTTTTATTAAAGCAGAACATAGAACAAAACACAGTTAGACAATATCATCAATACAAAACACATAAAACAGAAAGTAGGATGTACGCGTAATTATGTGAAGTGTGTAAAATTGTGTTGAGTATGTGAAAAAAATCTGGTGTGTTCACCGGATCTGCAGCGAACGCCAGAAACACACAGTCTCTCCTGGACCTTAATCTACTGATCTGATCCGACAGATGAGCGTTTCTAATCCAGACTCTCAATCTGCCACCGATCAAACCTGAGACAGTGAGACAGGTCTGAGAGAGTGAGACAGGTCTGAGACAGTGAGACAGACCTGAGACAGTGAGACAGACCTGAGACAGTGAGTCAGACCTGAGACAGTGAGACAGGTCTGAGAGAGCGAG